AGTCTTTGTAAGTCATTGATTAAGCAGAGTGCTTAGTGACACCGACGATTGGTCTCCACCTATAGCTAGTGCGGTATAAGAATGAAAGTAATCGTGTCAACGTTGACGACCGAACTGTTGTGAAAATATCTGAGTGCAATAGCACAGCTTGTGGTTAGGGTTCCGAATGAAGACGATAGCTTTCTAGCAGAACGCGTCACTGCTCGTCGCGCAACCAAACCAAGTCTTATATCTCCCTCCTTTAATTACATTCACCCAAGATGCCGCTCGAGGCAACGATGATGATAATCGACAACTCAGAATACATGCGTAATGGAGACTATATCCCATCCCGCTTCGAGGCCCAGTCTGATGCTGTCAAGACCATCTTCCAGACCAAGATTGATTCAAATCCAGAGAACACTGTTGGCGTCATGACAATGGCTAGCAAAGGGTACAACTCAGTTACATGTGCAAACTACGATTGCTGATGTTTTCTTGCAGGCCCGAGGTTCTCGTGACCCATTCGAAAGACATTGGACAGATAATCAAGGCCTTGCATGTAACATCATCGAAAATTGGCGGGTCAATAGATATTCCTACTGCCATTAACATTGCCCAGCTTGCCCTCAAACATCGAGAGAACAAGAATCTGCGCCAAAGGATAATAGTCTTTGTCGGATCTCCGTTACAAGGACAGGGAGCGGATGAGCGGGAAATGGTGAAGCTCGCAAAGAGATTGAAGAAGAACAATGTTGCTGTTGACTTTATTGCATTTGGGGACGGCGTAGAGGAGGAAACCAATGTCCTCAAGGCTTTCGTAGACAATACAACGAATAGCGATAACTCGTGAGTGTCACCTTGTCAGAATGCGTGCGTAGATTGATGCGCCTGGTATTTAGACATCTGGTGTCTGTACCACCTGGCACACATCTATTATCAGATGTTATCATTTCTTCCTCAATTCTGTCGGAAGACCGGGGCATACCACCAGAAGCGATGGGAGACGTCGGTGGTGCATCGGGTTCTGGTGGTGCCAACTTTGAATTTGGTGTTGACCCGAGTTTGGACCCTGAGCTTGCGTTGGTGCGTTGCTTTTTCTGACATCGAATACGGAGTCTTGTTGACATTTTATCTTATTTAGGCCCTTCGCATGTCTATGGAAGAAGAACAAGCTCGCCAGGCAGCGGAAGAGCAAACACGTCAATCGGCTACCGATGCCACGCCTCAAGCGGAATCAGCAGGGGCAGACAAGGATGAAGAGGCCATGCTCGCTCAAGCTCTCGCCATGTCCGAACGCAACGATGTTGACATGGGTGAGGAGCAAGACGAAGATATGGATGAAGAAGAGGCAATTGCTCGGGCAATTCAGATGAGTATGAAGCAAGAGGAAAAAGAACAGGGGGGACAGTAGTACCAAGCTTACATACCCTTACTTGTATTTTCCTCCGAGTTACACTCCGATTTCTCGAACGGCTGTTAGTTTGATATTGGCGCTCAGGCGCTGAGCGCTCTGAGCAAATACTCATAACAACTGGCACAGCCACTTCGACCTCATTCCGAGTCCGTTCGTTTCCTCAGATTCTTCCCTTGACGTCTTCTTTGAAATCCTCTATGCCATCATCACTCACTGCATCCCAAGAGGAGCTCAAGGCAGCCAAGGTGCCTTTGGCTTGGAGAGATCAGTGCTCAGCGTACGTACCTACTTTACCCTTCTGGTTGAAAGCCTATGACCCACAATACTGTTGTCCGTGATACTTCAGACTCTTGATACCCTTGAATACCTGTCGGAGAGAAAACTATTATTTACCTTGGACTTGCGAGAATGAGCGCCACGGCTATGAGAAGTGAGTTAAAGCTCTACTTTTCTATCTGTTGAGGGCCTGACCAATACACACCCAACAGGTGCCAATACGATGAGTAGGCATTTCGACCACATACCTACACATATGACGCTCATTTTTTCCACAGCATGATGCGGAGGATGAAGAAAATGTCAAAACTGGAACTCCAGCAGGCAGAGCAGACTGCAGAAGCTGCCGAAGCTATCATCTAGAAGACTTTCTTAAGAACGCTTCATGTCAATCGATGTCGAGACGTCAAACAATGCAACAAGATAGATGAATGGTGTGATATGCTGGAGGCAAGATGCTATTATGTGCTGGAGTTCTACACTTTCCTCCCTGTCTCTTTCTCAAACTCTGAAATTTCCTTTTTTACCCGCTCAACAACTTCGTCTGGTGTACTGCTCTGCCCAAACGCTTCAACGAACTGCCCATTTGGATCCATGAGGTAGACGTATATTGAATGGTCGACGAGGTAGTCACCCTTGGGATCTGCATTAGGCGGGGTGGAGAAGTAGACGCGGTAGGCTTTGCATGTGGTTTTCACGGTTTCATAGTCACCCGTGAGACCGATGATACGAGGGTGAAAGTCTGTGAGATATGTCTTCATTTGAGAGATAGAGTCGCGTGCAGGGTCAACAGAGATGAATACAGGCTGGAAGATTGTTCCATAATCCTTCTCTGTATTTGTGGTGAATGCGTACCGCGGTTGAAGTGATTTATGAACACGAACCTAGAGAAGTCAAGACCGAGCCAATCTTGTCTAATTCAGCAGGACATATGTCGGGACAGTTGGTGAAACCGAAGTAGACGAAGTTCCATTTCCCCAAGAGGTCTTTATCAGAGAAAGGCTTGTTTTCGTGAGTCGTTAGCGTGAAGGGACCACCCACATGCGGTCGTCCGACGCTTCGAGATTCAAGCTCCTTTTCTGTATGAATATTTTTTCTTGAGACGCTCTCGATGGGTGGAATACGGAGAAGCACGTACGTCGCTGTTCGAGGAGCTTTTGCTTCTCATAACGGAAGTAGTAAAATAAACCAATGCCGGTTGCAACGAATAGAGCTGCAGCCTTTGGCGTAAAGACCTGGGATCAGATGCAAGAATGTGAACAGAGAATAGCAGGTGAGCTGAAGAAACATACCCCGACAGCAGCTCTATCCCGTTCCCCCGATGTAAAATAACGTCTGCCAGGTGTTGTTGCTTTGTTATGGCGCATACATATAGATTGACGTTGGCATTGAATGCTACGACCTGGCATACAGGTCCGCAATGACCTGAAATACGTGGATGAGAGCTTTGACATCTTCAGGTCGAAGTTCCAAAAGTAGTCGGGGTTGACAATCACTGTATATAATTCTCAACATCTCAACATCGCTACAATTTACAAATGATTTTGCACGGGATTAATGGTGCTTAGCTATGGTGTCACGCTCTCAGATTAAACATGCATCAACGTGCTACGTGAAGTCGCTGAAGGCCGCCATCATTTTCGAAGCTTCAACCTGTTACATAAAGAATTAAATGCTTGTAGGTCCAAGACTCCAACCATTGTTGACAGTCAACAATCATGTGGTTTTCTACTTTAGCATATGTGACATTGGCAACTGCCGCAACGCTGCAACCAATCACTTCGAGAAACATCGAGGGAAGCGTACGTTCCTCCGAGTCTAACAGAAACATCATCGAGGACGGTATGTCGCACTCTTATTTTACGACGAACATCAAGTTAAATTTAGGAAAGGATGGGGAGCGGTGACATGTGAGTACGAACTACTGAGCTTTCAATCACCTCCTAATGTCAGAAATGATCGACAGCACTATTTGACAATCCCGCAAAAATCACAGACACGATACACGGTCAATTTGGTCACCTACTCATTTCTTAAGGTGCTGCTTACAATATAACAGAAGAATCTGATTCTTTGTCTGCTTCAGCGCACACGTGGTACGAATCGCATTTTCCAGATACGGGAGAGTCTTTCTGGGACAAAATTATAGAGCTCGGTCCATATGTCAAGGATTATAGTGACGAGCTTTTTCATCACGCCATGGAGCTGTATCCATCCGAGAAGCTTGCGGAGTTCAAGGAATCTATGATTAACGTCACTGCCACTGCCACTGTACTGCACAAAGTCTGTAGTGATGCTGCAGAAGACAGTGGCGTCTCTCTCTACTCCGTAATAGAAGAACTTGAAGACATCTTCACTGTCCTATTCGAAGAGCTTATGGAGATGTTCCCGCCACCTAACGAGGCTCCTGGTCATAACAACCGTACAATCATGATCAGCACGGCCCTTGACCGCATCGAGCAAAGTTTTTTACAGGTCGCTACCAAGGTCGGAGTCAGCGAAGAATTGTTGCAAAGTGACTCTAGTTCTCTCAAGCTTGCTGTTCAACAGGTTGCCGTAACCACAGGTACGTCGCGATCATCTAGCCATTCTGGAACATTGACGACATAATATCAAATGATACAGGAGACCTTGTCGAACAGCATCCCGTCATCGCCCGTGCACTCTTGCTCGTTGCGATTGATATCTTATTACCTGAGATCGAAATCAGTGGATGGCTTCTTCCCCAACTTCTCCGTTTGTTCGGATTTGGACGGCAAGGACCAATCAAAGGTACGCTTTTGTATACTGTTGCGGTGTTGAGCAGCATATTACTGCGATGTTTTAGGTGGAATTGCTGCGTGGGTGCAACGTTGGATATTTGGTGCCAACATCCCAGCGGGTAGCTGGTTCTCGGTGCTCCAGCGCCTGGCCATGATGAGTACAAAGCTTTAAGTATCATTGAAGTTGTTCGGGTTTCAGCAGTAGTTTGTTTCATGTCGTTGAAAACCTTCGGGGTCTGTTTTTATGTTTATACTTAAGAGATGGTTTTTGATACCTCAAGTGTATTGCAGATTATGCATTGTAGATGTCCTTGAGCATTCATGAAATTGAACCTAGGATCCAACCAGTCAAGCAGTCTATTTGGCCTTCCCTCTTTTTGCAGCATCTAAAAGTCGGATGCGCTCGATGAGTGCTCGATGAGCGGTGTTTGATTTTAGGCGACCGCTTAGCGTCTTTTAAGTTTCTGCGCGAGCGAGCAACCCAAATATTTCCAAAACAATATATATTGAGTGAATCTTATGAAAGTGCAAGATTATCACAAAGGAATCAAATCTTATCTACATATCTACAGATCATCAGACATACTAGCCGTACTGATAGTAGATATACCTCGTTCAACTAAATCTTTCTTTAAAGAAATGGAAGCGTGATATACTGCAGGAACGTTACGAATGGTGAGATTGTGTTGTTGAATGAAACGATACTCTGCTCCAGATGACGAAGATGCTGAAAACTCCACCGTCTGACATCTCCCGTTGAGATGCTCCATGAGGACTGAATGTGTTGCAGCGCCGCCAAGTGAAATCAGATTGTCGAGAGCGTCCACGTCGTCTATGTCAAGCTCTGTGTGGAAGCCGGTTTCCCACACAGCTGCAACGATGACGGCGTGTACGCCAGGATGATTGACTGGGGCCAGCGAGTCCGGATCATTCGTTTCGTGCTAGAGAAAAAAAAGGATAAGTCATTAGAAGAAGAATACAAAAAGAAAACTCACCAAAAACAAGTACGCGTGATTCTCAACGAGTATCGGTACGCGTTGTTTCCTGTGCGCGATCTCCGCATTTGCGTCCAACGGACAGTTAAGATCATAATGGACTGGGACTTCGCGGCGCGCCCTCGTTTTGAAGGCCGTTCGTATGGTCGTTGTGAGGGTTCGGAGGCTCTTAAGACAGGTTTCGTAGTTGGGAACCTCCGCGTCAGGCATGAAGTCCTGGCGAGCTGCCGACAGCGCTGCCTCCGCCATCGCCGTGTTGACGCCCATTTCGGGCATAGCGTTCTCTAGTAACACCTTGCGGCGCATATTAGACTTCGCGGCTTCCATCAATTTCTTGAACTGCTCATTAGTCGGACGTTGGGGAGCATAGGGATGGGAGCGTGCAGGACTGTTGGCCACAGGCCCGGAGCCAGCCACAGGCAAATTAGTGATAGGCGAGGGAGGAGTAGACACCGGAGGCAGCTCTCTGCGAGACGGGAGTGGTGCAGTAACAGTGATGTCTCCTGTAGCCTGTAGAAGAGAGTCAGTCACGATCATGATACAAGTGAGCGACGCACTCTGATAACTCCGGTTGGGAACAGTTGTCCCCGGTGGCCTTCGGGTGGGCGGCGAGGATCGTATACGAATACCTTCCGAATTCCGGGCAGGTCGATGGGTAAGCGTCCCAGATAACGTGTCCGTTCTTCCTCCCTCTGTGGCTCTTGCATGTGTCCGATATTCCTGAAGGTTGTCGGTGTGGGCACATCAAATTGATGTGCCTCACGAGACACGAGTTCCGGTGGTGCAAATGGCATCTGTGGGAGCCCGTAAGTGTGAGCATGAGGGGCTGGTTGCTGTTGGAGCTGCTGGGAGTCTGGCGGTGGAGCTGGCTGCATGAACGGTGGGCGGTAGTTGTGCGACGGGCCTGGTTGCCCAAGATGTTGTCGAGGGATCTGCCGGGGGTCCGGCGGTGGAGCTGGCTGCATGAACGGTGGGCGGTAGTTGTGCGACAGGCCTGGTTGCCCAAGATGTTGTCGAGGGATCTGCCGGGGGTCCGGCGGTGGAGCTGGCTGCATGAACGGTGGGCGGTAGTCGTGCGACGGGCCTGGTTGCCCAAGATGTTGCCGAGGGAGCTGCCGGGGGTCCGGAGGTGGAGCTGGCTGCATGAATGGTGGGCGGTAGTCGTGCGATGGGCCTGGTCGCCCAAGATGTTGCCGAGGGATCTGCCGGGGGTCCGGAGGTGGAGCTGGCTGCATGAACGGTGGGCGGTAGTCGTGCGATGGGCCTGGTTGCCCAAGATGTTGTCGAGGGATCTGCCGGGGGTCCGGCGGTGGAGCTGGCTGCATGAATGGTGGGCGGTAGTCGTGCGACGGGCCTGGTTGCCCAAGATGTTGCTGAGGGAGCTGCCAGGAGTCCGGCGGTGGAGCTGGCTGCATGAACGGTGGGTGGTAGTCGTGCGATGGGCCTGGTTGCCCAAGATGTTGTCGAGGGAGCTGCCGGGAGTCCGGCGGTGGAGCTGGCTGCATGAACGGTGGGTGGTAGTTGTGCGACGGGCCTGGTTGCCCAAGATGTTGTCGAGGGAGCTGCCGGGAGTCCGGCGGTGGAGCTGGCTGCATGGACGATGAGTAGTAGTCGTGTGATGGACCTGGTTGTGCGAGATGTTCATCGGCTTCCTCCATATCGACTTCCTCCATATCATCTTCCTCCTCCATCTCATCATCCTCGTCCTCGTCGTCCTCATCCTCGTCCATGCCTTTGGATTCGATTAACGAAATTAGTTGCTGGTATGATGCCGGACCTTGAGGTTGTTCGACACGGACACCGATCTGGCTTGCATCTGAATTCAAAGACGGGTTTAAACCCGAATTTTTCCCTGGTTTTTTTATTGCCTAATAATATTATATTAGTAGCATGCGTAGGTAGTAGTACCGTAAGACTTACCTTCGCATTCTTGCGCAAGGGACGCTTTTTCGTGATCTTCGTGTGCTTGCGAGTTGCACTGGCCTTTGGGGGCATGATGATGGGTGGGTGGAAAACGTATGAGAAAAATGTATGCTTGAGTCCAGGTGCTTAACAGCCAGGGTTATTTAATTGGCCCCAGGGTTCTATCGGCCTCATGGCGCAGCCAATTCAATAGAAAGATCAATCAGTAATCACGAATGCAGACATTTATGTATTAGATGCACCGAAATCTGCATGCTGCGAACCTCGTGGCATGATGATCAGTATGTTTGACGCAGTTTCACGCGGGGTAAGGACAGAATAGGCAAAAAGATGTGATAGTGCGGAATGATATCGATGGTGACAAGATAGTATCGATAGTGACAAGAAGAAGAGAAATCAGTCACGAGGCTACATCGAACATTACTACAAAACTCTTGAATACATAAAACTGGTACACCGTTGATCTAGAGCGGTAATCGACGAATCAGTGACATTTTTGACCAAGATAAGAAATGAACTTAACTGATTGCCTAGTCCCGACCGCTTTCGGAGTCTTCGCCACCATCGTTAGCCATGATCAAGTCTGTGTCGGTGACCCCGTGTGCGATAAGTAGTCCTTCCATATCATTGTATTTACCTTGCACAAACTTGAGGGACTCCTTTGCTTTGAGGAGGTTTGTAGTAACGCTGGAGGATGGTTCAGAAACCTCTGTGCACTCTTTCTGCGCGTTTTCAATCCAGAGTCGAAGCCCATCTTCTGCAGCTTCATGTTCTTTCTTCAACTTGTTGATGGATTGGTTCAAGAAACTAGTCCACCTGCTCGCCTCTTCTACCTGCCAGATCCTGGTCATGATAAGGTGGCGAAGCTTCTCACAAGTGGCATACTGAGCAGCAACAGCCACTTTGAGATCCTCAGGCGGCATGTTTGTGTCGCCCAGAATCTCTGGGGCCTGTTTAATCGAGTTCAATACAATCAGTACCAGCAAAAATGTGGAAAAGACTTACAAGGGACACAAAACTTGCAATAGGGATATCATGTCCCTCTGACTCAGAGTCAAACAAAGCAGAGTTAAATGAGGAGCAGCTCCCCTTGGGAGACCGTAAGGTGTAGTTCCCCCGGGGAGAGTGTAAGGAGTAGTTCCCCAGGGGAGACCGAGACCTGCGTAGAGACCGAGACTTACACTTAGCCTTGGGACTTGCTCTATAAGCAGGAGAGGAATGTTCGACGAAAGTTGCAGAGCTGGTTGGGCTAGTAGGGCGCATAGTAGCAATACAAGTGTCCAGCATGATATGAACAATGGACTTGGAGGATTTGACCTGAATGTTTTCTCACTCAGCCTCTCGCTGCGGTGCTGTCAACAGACTTGTCAGCGAGTTTTGGAGTTTGAAGGACTTAACAGAATTCCAAATACACGGCGGTGGATGGTCAGTCAAGGTGATTCTTAAGGCTGCGATATCAATAAGTTCTTCAAGTTGAACGCTCCGATGGCATCCAATGTAGAAGAGGGCTTTACCTCTGACGAGATGTTTTTTAGGGCCGGAGAGTACGTTTTTGATATCAAACTTACACGATGGTCCTGATCAAGCTGGCTATCATATAGTGGTACTAGCCAGTATCCTTGTCCCACCTGTTCCACGCCATTTGTGAAGGTGGAAGAACTTTGCACTCACCTTACAGATGATCCGCAATGCAATGCTGTACCCATCCCTCATGCACTTCGCCAACCTGCTGGTCCAGGTGAAGAACGCATGGGTCGCTATCACACGAAATCCGGCTCTATTTACGGGTTTCAACGGCCAAATACGTTCGAGCGCATGAAGGCTCATGACTATGAGTCCGCTCGCGAACATAATGTGTACTACCCATTTTCTGGGAGGGAGGAATGGGAACTCGCCAAATTTCTCATCGAGAATCTGAATCAGGGGCAAATAAGTCGCTTTTTGAAGTTATTATGGGTCAGTGAACTTTACATTAACTTTTAAATTTTAACAGCTCGCTATTAGGTGAAGTCAGAAACACGGCAACAGCCCACATTCAAAACTGCGCCCCAACTGCTAACCTTTATGGACGCCCTGCCAAAGGGACCGCAGTGGCGCTGCACAACAATCGAGACAGATGGTTATGTTACAATGCATCCTGTGCATCTTATCTGGCGTGATGCTTTGGAGGTAACGAAGCACATATTTGGCAATCTGATTTTTGCCAATGACATGGAATTCGATCCATATGAGATATTTGTTGACGGAGAACGGGAATATGGTGAATGGATGTCGAGTTCGCGTGCGCATGATATCCAGGCTTGTATTATTTTTTATGTTCGAATACAAATTCTGACGATAGTTTTTATGCATAGGACGAGCTTCCACGAGGTGCTACCATTGTGCCCATCGTTCTTGCATCGGACAAAACTCCTGTCACTCGACACACAGGAGGTCTCGAGATGCATCCCACGTTCCTTACTATCGCTAACATCCGATCTGACATTCGCATGAAGGCTACGGCTCACGCATGGTCGTGCATCGCATATATGCCCATTCCTCAGTTCATTTGCAACCCCGAGTTCTCTTCACTCTTGCAAGCCCGTGTGTGGCATCGGTGCATGGATATAGTCTGCATGAATCTCAAGGAGGCAGCCGCTGTAGGCGCAAGTATGGTGGACCCATTGGGTCTCTTACGCTATGGATTTACCCCCCTTGTCGCATATACCGCCGACCTCCCCGAACAACAGATGGTTTCATGTGTAAGTAAGAATACATCACCAGTCACTCTAGCCATCCAGTCACAGTTCGGGGACGGAAAGTTGTATGAACCTCGCGACGGCCAGGGCACACTCAGGACACTTGAAGAACTTGGTCAGCGTATCGATCCCTGGAAGGTCCAGGAATTTCAAGAAGCAGCCAAAGCATCACATCTCAGCGGGGTGCAGCTTCCCTTCTGGCGTGACTGGCGCTTTGCTGATCCAGCTATTTTCCTTGCACCTGAACTTCTCCACACATGCCATAAATTTTTCTTTGATCACATCCTCAAGTGGTGTAAGGAAGTTGTTGGGGCTGATGAACTCGATACTCGCTTTCGTTCGCAACATAAACGCATCGGAACCCGTCACTTTGGGCAAGGTGTCTCCCATGTCTCGCAGATGACCGGTCGGGAACATCGGGACATCCAACGCACAATCGTACCTACAATTGCAGGTGTCGTCGATCCTGATTTCGTCCGCGCTGTTCGCGCGATGGTCGATTTTATCTACAAAGCACAGGCTCCAACTTTCACTCCAACATCGATCGCTGACATGACCTCCTCCCTCCAAGAGTTTCACAAATTCAAACACGCAATTCTCCGTGCCGAGGCTCGCCGAGGAACATCGGGTCCTATTGAGCATTTTGAAATTCCAAAACTTGAGCTCTTAGCATCATTCGCTCGAGCCATCCCCCAGCTTGGCTCCATTATACAATTTACTGCTGATGTCAGTGAGCGCATGCTCATCACACAGTGCAAGAATCCATTTGAGCGCACCAGCCACCAACGTGCAACGTTCACTCAGCAAGTCATCCATCTCCTGGACCGGGAAGAGACTGCACGCCAGTTCGACCTCTATGCCCTCCTCCGCTCAAACGACATGTCCCTCAACAACCTCATCGTCAACGAATTCGACGAAGTCGTTGACATGGACCCGATGTTGGGTTGGATCATGCGCGTCGCTCCCGAAGAACTGTCTCGGTTTCAAGGCCCACGTCCCGTTTGCAACCATTTCCTCAAAGGCCTGCTGTCTGAAGACAGCAGGGTCGCCTTTCATATCACTGTATCCAGTGACCACACCAACAAGACAGCACCTTTTTTGGCGCGATTATACCAGCTTCCTGACTTTCCTCTGACGCTTCGCTCCTTCATTGAAAGTGTCAACCCTACGCTCGCAACTCGTTTCCAGAACCAACTGCTCAACGTCTGGAACAAGTTTCGTATTCAGCTGCATTCAATGTTGCGTCCGCGTCTCGTCATGCCGAGCCAGCAGGTACAAGCATATCCGCCATCTACCAATTATCCTTGTGGAAATTGCGATGCTGTCCTGCTGCAGATGCACAGTGAAGGTGAAGAAGGTGAAAATCTTGGTGAGTTTTGAAGTTACGGTCAGTATCTTTGTATTCACGCATTTCTTCACTAGACGCCATTGTAGCTCAAGTTCGCATGGTGTTTGGCTTGTCAAAGAAAGGCCCACCGTTGCCTGCTGAACTTGACCAAATATTCCTCTATGTACAGCTCTTCGAAGTCGTCGCACGTCCTCAAGATGATGTTGGAGTCATGATGTTCCGCGTTAAGCTGTAAGGATTATCTATTCCCTACGCGCCGACCATGCTTAAAACTGAGACGCTCGAATGGATCATACGTTCGAGCTAGTCCATGTGATTCATTGATGCGAAGAGTGCAACTCTTCGCATCCGAACTACAAGGATACATTCCTTTTCGTTTCTCTTACTCTTTCGTCATCATACCTTGTGCTCTGATTTCACGATTCCCGTTTCTTCACCGATATCTCTCAAAGCACCATATGCTACTTACTCTCGTTCCAGTCTAGTCAAGAACTCGAAATCGTATATAATCAGTGTACGTAGATTCATACTTACAGAAAATCAGACAGTGAAATTCCCCGCTCCAAGAACGTTTGAAAACCTCAGAAAAATCTCCTCTCTCTAGCCTTGTTCAAATTCGTTTCGTGTTTTACGCTGACACGTCTACATATCTATCCGTCTCGTTCACAGTTCCCTGCCGAACTAATCCAGCCTTACACATTGGAGCCCACCGCGAGGGGAATTGCTTAGAACAAACCCTCATACCTCGAATTGATCCGCTGATCCGTTTTCTGATCCGCAGATCTTTCTTCTTCCATCCGGTCATCGACCATATTCCTTCATCATTACCAAATACTACCATCCAAACGCGCAGATACGACTCGAGCAGCAAGAAGGGCCATCTGCGCTGGCTCCTCCAAACGAAGCCATACCACCTAAAAAGCGTCGAAACCGCGCCAATACCCTAAAACCTACCTCTACTCCCTTTATTCAAGAAGCACCTAAAATTCCTGTCGTCACTCCCGTTCGCTCAAAGTTAGATCGACCTTTCGGCCTTATCCACGACGCCTTGGAAGACTCAACCGAATCTTCCTTATCAGACGATACTATAAGTTGTCTCCCACGCGCAGAATCACCCTTCCCCGTTATACCCAATCAACAGAACTTTATCCTTAGACCCGCCATATTCGACCCAGATACTCCCTCTCTTCCGTCAACACGAAACGAACCCGAAGTTACTAAATCAACAAAACCCATCACCACACTCTTCCCCATTTCAAAACCCGACTTCATCGCTAGAACACCCTCATTAAGCTTAGCCCCAACACTGGCAGCACTTCAACCCCCAATTGTTTCTGCTGCTTCGAACACTTCCATAGCACTCCCCTCCTCAAATACGACCCCCTCCGTGCCTTCTCAACCTTCTTTCACCATGTCCAATGCATCTAAAGGCATCAATGCGATGCCGGGAGCTAATTCGAGTAAAGCACCATCCTTCAACGGGGAGACTTGTGAACTCCTCGAATTCTTCGAATTCTTCGAGGATCTCGCATCGGCCTGTGCTCTCAACAGTGCCGAGAAGTGTAAGACGATTGTTCGATATGTTGACTTACAAACTAAACGCTTCTCGGTAACGCTCACCGGATACGAGAGTAAGGATTTCACTGTTTTCAAAGACAGTATCCTAGCACAGTACTCCGGCGCCGCGAAAGGACAACGCTATACCATCCGGGACCTAGAGCGCATCGTGATCAACAACGTCGACAACGATATCTCGACAGAAATGGAACTTCTCCAGTATTATAGACAGTTTCGGCCAATCGCCCATTGGCTCGTCGCCAATAACAAAATATCAACGCGCGAACGAGATCGGTACTTTTGGCAAGGGTTGCCAACGGCAGCACGACGTGCCATTGACAGAAGATTGGAGTTGAAGGATGTAAACTATTCGAGGAACGAGGCTACAGACTTTGAGGACGTACTAAAAGCTGGTCGTTTTGTGTTTTCAGATGACGCATTCGACACTGACCTCAATGAGCCGATCGCGACCAGGATACGCACGATACGCGAAGCACGCTCTGTCAAACCAAAAGTTCCTCCGCCATGGGATTCAGACGAAGAAGAGGAGAGAAAAGACGTACGAAAGGAAGTTCAGACCAAACGAGTGGTCTTCTCAGCCCCTCCACCCGCCCCAGTCAAGTCCACCATAGATGAGGTAGAGGATCTTGCACGCAAAATGCATGGACTGGATATCGGAGAAGCGGCGTACTCAGGATATTATACGCGTCTGGTTTGTTTAGCCCCAGCAGCAGCACAAGCATGGGCACCGCCAAAAGCACGTCAACTTGTCAACTCAACCGTGGCCCAGACATCCTTACCATATCTTCCTCTCCCGCCTCTTCCAACCGCATCCAATCATCAGTCAAGCCCCACTTGCTTCTTTTGCGGAGGTTCGCATGTCATGCGAACATGCTCAGTTGCTGGAGAATACTTACGCGCAGGACGGATCATTCGCGACGGACAGTACTTTGCATTCCCGGATCAGTCACGCATACGACGATTCGGGAACGAGACATTCAAACAGGCCATCGACGCAAGATACGCTATCCCCACTCCAGCCACTGGATCAAATGCAATCCCCGTTGACGTTACCAAACGAGAAGTCTCACCTCAAACCTCCAAACCATCAGACATCCCTTCCTCCGCGTTCATATCTGAATCCTACTTTCTGCAATGTACTCCCATCTCCGAGAATCACGCCGTGATAGTAGCTGTTGAAGAAGAAGTTGAAGAAGGACAAGCGTTGGCCATCACCCGGTCGAAAGCCAAGAATACGCAGATCGCAGAAGACGTACCACCCAAAAACGTAGCCCCCACGTCTCCTGCAATCCCCAACGTCGAAGCTGGCCGAAATGAAGTCTCCAAGGGACCCGCATTTAAATACGAGTCGAAGGCTGCTACACCAGAAGCCACCCATCGTATCTACAAAAGCATCCTGGAAACGTTAGTACCCAACATATCCGTATCAGACTTACTTGCCATTAGTCCGGATCTGCGCAAGGAAGCAGTTGAACATTGCCGAACGCACCGGGTCCCCGCACCAACTTCTAGCCTTTCTACAACTCTCCAGTCGCCCAGTACGATCCCCCCTCCCCAAGTAGAACACGCCACTCCACTTCGCGAACTTCAAGTTCTCTTAAACGGTGTCCATTCCGAGTTAGCATTGCTCAACGAAGGATCCGAAATTGTAGTCATAAGGGAGGACGTTTGGAAGAAAACAAACGCACCTCGAAATCAGCAAATTCGGATGCGAATGGAGACTGCAAATGGAGGAGCACAAGACATGGGAGGATGCGTTGAGATGTTGGAAATCGAAGTAGATGGAATTAAGAGTTGGGCTCACGCGTACGTCGTTCCTAAAGCACCTTATCAACTCCTCCTGGGACGTCCCTGGCAAAAGCTTGTCCATCTATCAAAGTCTGAAGATGTGGACAACGTATATATAACCATCCAGGACCCTCTAGATAGCTCGAACGTTCGTACCATAACAACCTCCCCTCGCCCTTGGCCGCATCCTTCTCTTGCCCTCACCACTGCACTCCTTACTCCTCTATCTACTCCGCAAACCCCACCGACAAACTCGACAGACATCTACCATGCCACCCTGCCAACAAGCTCGACGGATATTTATCATGCTAATCTACAATCTAGCCCCCCATTCTCTAGAACGCCCATTCCCATATCACGTCTCACTTTCTCCTCCTTTGCCGAATTTCTCCTCCAGACTCACCTCGAAATCAACCCTGCCCGCCGCACCTTTGCCTATAAGAAAGTCGCTAATAAAGTCAGACCAGTAGCCACCACCATGCCATCCCATGCTCGAATCGTACGACGTTTCCCAGAGGATCCACTTCTCTCCCTTCCTCCGCTGTCACCAAATCCGCCCAACTTCCATCCCGGCTCCCGTTTATCCAAAGAACGGATGGATGAGCTCGGCGTGTTCAAAAACCAATTTCTATGGCCGGAAGAGCAAAAGTTAGCTGCGCTCGTGCTAAAGAACAACGAACTTGCCCTGGCTTGGGACAAGTCAGAAAAAGGACGCTTTCGAGACGACTATTTTCCCCCAGTAATCATCCCTACCATCGAGCACATACCTTGGGTACACCGGCAGCCACCCATTCCTCCTGGTATCAAAGAAGAAGTCATCAAGCTCATCAAATCTAAGATTGCGTCCGGTGTCTACGAACCCTCCAACTCCTCCTACCAGTCCCGCTGGTTTTGTGTCGCAAAGAAGAGCGGTGCTGTCCGAATCGTGCATGACCTTCAACAGCTAAATTCTGTAACAGTCAAGGACGCCGCATCAATGCCATATGTAGAGTTGTTTGCGGAACAATGCGCAGGACGCGCCATATATTCTATGATGGACTTATTCGTAGGGTTCGATCATCGAGCGCTTGCAGAAGAATCACGCGACATTACCACTTTCCAAACTCCTCTCGGCACTTATCGTTTGACAGTCCTTCCTCAGGGATGGACCGACTCCCCCGCAGTATTTCAGAACGACGTGGCCTTTATACTCCAAGCCGAAATTGAGATCGCTCCGAATTTTCAGGACGACGTAAACGTCTTAGGTCCTCAGACGCGTTACGAAACATCTAACGGCTCATTTGAGCTCATTCCTGAAAACATGGGGATTCGTAGATTTGTATGGGAGCACTGCCTTGACGCTAATCGCATCCTTCACAGGCTCAAACACGCTGGAGCAACAGTCTCCGCAAAGAAGTTATTTCTTTGCGTACCCGAAGTTCTCGTCGTCGGGCAAATGTGCACATATGAAGGCCGCAGTCCGGATTCCTCTAAAGTGTCGAAAATTCAACACTGGCCTCCGTGCAAGTCGAAAACAGAGGTTCGCGCGTTTTTGGGTACTACAGGTACCATTCGCATCTGGATAAAGGATTATGCGCGCATAGCGCGACCTCTTACGAATCTCACTCGAGTCAACACACCATTTGCGTGGGATGCAGCAGCTCAACAGGCTATGAACTCACTTAAGGATGCGGTCATTCACTCCCCGGCTATCCGTCCCATTGATTATTCCTCTCCGCTCGAAGTTATATTAGCCGTCGACTCGTCTCACATAGCATGCGGATGGATACTCTCGCAAATCAACACTGAAGGTCGTCGACGTCCATCAAGATTCGGATCCATTACCTGGAATGAGCGCGAATCGCGCTACTCACAAGCCAAGATAGAGCTCTATGGGCTATTCAGGGCCCTGCGCGCTGCAAAGGTCTGGTTAATAGGTCTGAAAGTATTCACTGTCGAAGTAAATGCCAAGTATATTCGCGGCATGCTCAACAAACCGGACATCCAGCCAAACGCAGCCATGAACCGATGGATAGCGGGAATATGCACCTTCGACTTCACGCTCAAACATATACCTGGCATGAAGCACCTTGGACCGGACGGACTGTCGCAATGGCCTCGAGCAGAGGAAGATTCAGACGAAGAAGACTTGGAGGATATTGATGAATCAGTAGAAGAAATAGTAGGATGCGGACTCTGGTTGGCTAAAGAAGTGGAGAAGGAACAGCGTGAAGAAGCTACGGAAGATCGGTGTATCGTTACGAACGCAAGGGCGCAAGATGGGACCGATATAGAGATTCCTTCGGATGACGCATCAAAACGAATTGATGAAGAATTAGAAGCCATTCGAACGTACTTAGAAACGTTTTCATTTCCTTCCACCACTTCCTCGTCCCATCACGCTCGTCTACGAAAACGCGCCCGACAGTTTTTTGTCCAAAGAAACCGACTCTGGCGAAGAGAAGCTACAGGACGACATCAGCTAGTCGTGTTCGGAGCAGATCGTATGCGTACACTCCAGCAAACCCACGACGAACTCGGACACAAAGGAACTTACGCCACTCGTCGTATGATTGCCGATAGGTTCTGGTGGCCATCGTTGGACAAAGATATCGCCTGGTTCATTAAAACGTGTCATCAATGTCAAACTCGATCCGTCGAGAAAGTAGTCCTTCCTCCTACCATCTCAATTCCCGCGACTCTCTTCCGGAAAACCTTTACCGATTCTATGTACATGCCCGCATCTCACGGATTCGCTTACATCGTACAAGCACGATGCTCGTTGACAGCGTGGCCAGAGTTTAGAATGCTGAGGAAAGAAACTGGAAGGACGTTGGGTGCATTTTTGTTTGAAGATGTTCTCTGCCGGTGGGGAGCAGTAGAAGAAATTGTGACGGATAATGGGTCTCCTTTTGTCGCTGCGCTCGATTGGCTCGCGCACAAATATCACATCCGGCACATTCGAATATCCGCCTATAACTCAAAGGCAAACGGCCTCGTCGAACGATCTCACAGAACCATTCGAGACTCACTCGTTAAATCCTGCAACGGCGACATCACTCAATGGCCAACTCTTGCGCACCATGTCTTCTGGGCCGATCGCGTCACGACACGAAAGTCTACTGGCCACACTCCCTTCTTTATGACACACGGCATAGAACCTATTCTACCTTTCGACATCACCGAAGCCACATACCTCCTTCCTGATATTCCTGCCCAAATCTCCACGAGCCACCTCATCGCTATACGTGCTCATCAATTAGCTAAACGAGAAGAAGATTTGGCAGATATTCACACCCGCGTGCTCAAGAGTCGTTTCGCATCTATCAAAGACTTCGAGCGGCAATTTTCTCGGACCATTCACGACTATGACTTCAAACCAGGCATGCTTGTCCTAGTCCTAAACAAGAAAATCGAACCGTCCTCTAACGCAAAGTGCAAGCCAAGATATTTTGGTCCAATGGTAGTGGTCTCGCGTTCTCCTAACGGTCTGTATCGCCTCGCAGAAGTTGATGGAACTCTGTCGAAACTCAAATTCGCCACCTTTCGACTCATACCTTATCACCCCCGTTCACCCTCGTCCATCGAAGTCACGCAGTATATCGATCCTCAAACGCTCGTAGATGACGAGCCAGAAAACAATTAGATGCGCTGTAGAGAATCATGCCTCTCATGGCGTGATATGGTAGTTTTCACCAAGGAGTATACAGCACGAACTCATAGCATTACTCTGTGCGCTACCCGCAGCTATCTCTATATGAGGCGCAGCTTTCCCACGCAACGCGCGCCATGCGCGCACCATTCCCGCGCTTCACGATGTATACGCGCGCGCGCGTTCCCGCGCTTGCGCGCCCTATAGCGCCAGCCATCCAGATGCATCCATCCACTGTCCACCAAGCTCCCTAGTATGTATATTTCCATTTCCTTTATTAGCATAGTTCCACCTTTATTTTTATCATAGTTTCTCACTCATATATATTTTTACATACCTACTCGGTAGCGCTTCGGCTCCGCATGAGCGCGCTTAGGCGCGCTATATAAGCGCCAGCAGTACATACTACACGGGACCTACTTTTCCTACTTTTCACTTACTAGTTACTACCCACTTACTACTTAGCAGAATATAGTAGAAAGCTATTCCTTTACATTTTGCACTCTTATATCTCTTATCTTGCTTTATATCGCTACTTAAGCTTAGTTTCTTATTTCCGCATACGCGCGCGCACTTTCCCGCGCTTCGCGCTAATACGCGCGCGCGTTCCCGCGCCTTTGTACCTTGCGCGCTCCTGCGCTTTCTCGCGCTTCGCTTAAGCGCACACTTCTAGATCCTTGCTGCACTCACTTCCCCTATAGGGTCGAACGCACTTGCTTCTCAAGTAACGCAGACTAGGCAGCGCGCGACCTTACAACTTTTACAGATACAGTCAGGAGCTTCTTTTGTTCCTCATTGTATTGTTGTTTCTACAGCGCCTTTCCCTTTTTTCACTTATTCATTTTTCTAGTCTCGTTTTTCTTCTAAATTGGTTACTTTTCTTCAGTACTACGATACATTTTGTTTAGTCAAGAAGATCGACCGAGGTCGGTCGATATTCAAAGTGGGGAGGTGGTGTAAGGATTATCTATTCCCTACGCGCCGACCATGCTTAAAACTGAGACGCTCGAACGGATCATACGTTCAAGCTAGTCCATGTGATTCATTGATGCGAAGAGTGCAACTCTTCGCATCCGAACTACAAGGATACATTCCTTTTCGTTTCTCTTACTCTTTCGTCATCATACCTTGTGCTCTGATTTCACGATTCCCGTTTCTTCACCGATATCTCTCAAAGCACCATATGCTACTTACTCTCGTTCCGGTCTAGTCAAGAACTCGAAATCATATATAATCAGTGTACGTAGATTCATACTTACAGAAAATCAGACAGTGAAATTCCCCGCTCCAAGAACGTTTGAAAACCTCTCAGAAAAATCTCCTCTCTAGCCTTGTTCAAATTCGTTTCGTGTTTTACGCTGACACGTCTACATATCTATCCGTCTCGTTCACAGTTCCCCGCCGAACTAATCCAGCCTTACAAAGCGCCATTTTGTGACCGGTCCTGATGGCACACAAGTGCGGGTTGGCATGATCATTCCTCTGCTCGATGTTACCCATGCAATCGAGCTCATTCCTGTTTACGGGGACAGAGCTAATCGTGCTGTTGACTCCTCGACGTGTTTGGAAAGCTATGATACCTTCTACCTTAACAATTTTTCAGACAAAGAATGGTACCACACGCTACACACAGATTTCATGTAGTTTCCCTCGAGTCTAGACGTCCTGTGGTGTGCATCGCAATGTTAGATTGATTGATTGGACTATCTTGCAAAGATAAGATTCGCTAAATAATTTAAGACTAAATCTAAGACTCGATTTCGTGATTTTGACACGACTAAGTGAGTTGTCAGATCTCCACCAATCGCATGGCTTTGCTACTGAAGTCGTAAGCGTTCGTAAGTGTTCGTAACGCGCGTAAGTTAAGCGTTCATTTCAGTCGTTTTGCAGATGAGGTCTGAGGTAGCTCGGGGATAATAGCGTGGGCGTGTGAATTGTTGTGGGTCCTGGTAGGTCCATGTGATTGATGCTGTGAAAAAATAATCAACCGTCAGACCATCTGTACACAAGACTTAGTACTGCGATGCGGTTCTCTACTCTAGCATTTGTTGCATTGATACTGCAACCTGTCCTTTCCAGCAACGTCGAGGAAAGCACTTGTTCTTATGATAGTGAAGGTTTAGAGGTGGCCAACGAGGGAGGTATGTCGCCTCTTGGTCTCTAGAGAGGAGACTTTTGATTTCGTCTCGGAAAAGGATGGGGACTAGTGAAATGTGAGTACATCCGTGGCTACCATTTTCAATCATTCAATGAGAAAGTGTCAACAGCGGCATTGTTCGGCAAGTCAATGCAAGTTGCAGAAACATTACGTGGTCACTTTGATGGCCTGCTCAGTCATGAAGGCGCCAATAGTCTCACAGAACAACTTGACTCTTTGTCTGCTTCAGCATACACGCTGTACGATGGATTGCACATTCCAAGTGCGGGAGAGTCCTGGGACAAAATCGTGGGGCTCGGTTCAAATATCCAAGGGAATGTAGACGAACTCTTCCAACATGCCAAGGAACTTTATCCCTCAAAGATATCGGAGTTCAAGAAGTCTGTGAATAGTGTTGTCAGTACAGCTACATCACTGCACCAAGTTGTTAAAGGAGCCGCAGAACAACGTGAAATTCCTCTCGATTCAGTATTAGACGAACTTCGAAATACCCTGCATGTCCTATTTGAAGAGCTTAAAGAGCAGTTCCCGCCACCCGAGGAGGCTCCCGGTCATGAGAATCGTACCCTCATAATCAACACAGTTCTTGATCGCGTCGAGGAGACTTTTCTACGGGTTGCCATCAAGTACGGAGCAAGTGAGGAAGTCCTGAAAAATCACACCAGTTCTCTCATGTCTGGTGTTCGACATATTGTGGGGATCGTCGGTACGTCACAACTATTGAACCATTCTCGGACGTTGATGCTTTAATATTAAATGATACAGGAGACCTTTACGAACAACACCCTCAGCTGGCATGGACCTTCTTTAGCATTGCGATTGCCCCGCTATTTGCACAGGGGCTTCTTCTCTCAGCCCTCAGGATATTTGGATTTGGGCCATTGGGACCAATTGCAGGTATATTTTTATATGGTTGCGGCACTGAGCAGCTCCATTGATGTGATGATTTTAGGAGCTCCTGCTGCATGGTTGCAAGCGTGGTTATTTCGCGGGGCTATCCCAGCAGGTAATTGGTTTGCGATACTTCAGCGCATAGCCATGAGAGGTGCAATGTTTTAAATGGATTCAATGCCAGTATTGTAGATGATTGATCCATAAGATCAAAAACCTCGGGGTCTGTGATGTCTGTAATTAGATGTTCATATCTCGTGAGCATTTGCGCCATCTTCATAAAACTGAATCTAGCATCAAGTGTCCAGACCTATGCAAGGCGCTTTTTGGTTTTGGGGCCAAACAAATATCCTTAGTGGACAAGATATGCGTGGACCTGATGTCAAAGTTCCTTGATGGTACTCGCACGATTCCGAAGGCGCACATTCAAACATTCACTAATGGTGCAACTCACACCTCGCTTTGGGGTAGAATCCCAATCTTTGGAAGCCTGGGCATGTGAATCGTGTAGGTCCATTTGATTTCCGCCCTGCACTTGCACATTTACGTGTACGTACTGCACTGCTTGATGTACACACACACCCTCAAGGCCTCAAGGCTTAGGTATGTGTTGATGTTGCCTCATGCCATGAACACCGCTCGATCGATTATCGACCTGTTACGTAAGTGACTTGGTGAATCGAATCCCGCAGAAGTTCCTCGCACCTATATATACGTTCAGTGCCCAATTGTACAGTGAGCCAACCGTCGTCTATCTAGCATTGTACTGCAATGTACCAATTCTTCAAAAAAATCGCAAAACAATGCGTCAATCATTTCTGCACCATATCAAAACACCTTGGAAACGCTTTCAGCACCCTATCTGAAAAGCTCAAAAAACTGGTTCCGCCGCCCAGTGAAGCTCCCGGTCATGAAAAGCGCATGGACAAGATGAACACGACTCTTGATCGTGTTGAGGAGTGTTTTTTGCGGGTCTTCAGCAAGCTCGGCGCGAGCAGGAAATTCCTCCAAAGTCTGACAGGTCCTCTCAAAACGGGTGTCAAATATGTTGTTGTGACCATCAGTGCGTCATGAATAAATAAGGGTTCCAAAACGTTGATAAACTAATATCAAATGATGGTACAGGAGATATCACCGAGCAGCATCCATACCTCGTGACCATCCTTTTGTGCATTGCGATTGGCATGCTATTATCCTGTCTTCCTGCGATTCTCGGGTTTGGGCCCTTGGGACCAGTGAAGGGTACGATTTTGTTACTTGTATAGTTGTATCGCATCAATACTTATAATATTTTTAGGTGGAATTGCTGCGTGGTTGCAAGGGTGGTTATTTGGCCCCGCTGTGACAAAGGGCAGCTGGTTCGCGATATTTCAGCGCTTCGCCATGGTGTGGAGAGCATGGTTGTAGAGCTGGAGCGAGGTTCCGTGAATGTATGATCCATGACTGAAACTGTTGAGACCTGTTACGTTTGTACAAATATGACTTACATGTACATGATTTCTTATACATATGCTTGAAATTCGCTCGTTGGTCAGTGTCGTGGATTTCATGCACCCTGCGACCAGTAAAATTAATGTTTGAGACAGCCCTCCAGGCAACCCACTAAGGACCCGCCATTTACTATGGTCCTTGCGCGAGGCTTCCAATATCAGTATATTGATACTCAGTCCCGATCAATTTGCTGATACCAGGGATTGTTATCCAACAACTTGAAGATTCAATCAGGCCGCGCACTCTGCTTTTCGTGACTCAGACTAGACAGCATTAACTTCACTGCCAGTGTTGCTTACGACCTGCAAACATGTCACACATCCCATCCCGCAATTCCATCAAACCTGGCAGTAATAGTGCACACAATTTTGTCGAATCTCGCACTCTCATAGCAACATCACCTTTGTTGTAGCGCTGGGATGCCTCTTAGTGATGCGTAATCTGAAACACACGAACTCGAGAAATCAAATCATACACTAGTGATCAAGGCCTTCGAAAATCCTTGATTAGAGGGAAGCCTCTCATGACCATAATATTGAAATTGGCTGAGAAGTTCACAGGCTGACGAAGACGTTTACCCGGATCTCAAGCTTAAGGTTTACTGGTTATGTTAACCTGCATGTTGCCTCATGCCGTGAAGTAGTATTTGATTATCAACTTGTTACATAAGTGACTTGGTGAATCGAATCCTCGAATCCCGCAGGAGGTCCTCGCATATACTATATGCCCAATTGCACAGTGAGCCAACGGTCGTCTATCCCAGCACTATACTGCAATGAATTGGCTCTCTACTCTGGCATCAACACTGCGACCAGTTACTTCCGGCAACGTTGAAGAAAGCACTCAGTCTTCTGATGAAAGCGCCACCGAGACAGGTTCGTTGCACTCTTATCTCATTACGAACGTTACATTTTAACCTAGGACAAGGATGGGGAGTAGTGAGAAAGTGTACGTCCAACTGAAATTACTGTTTTTGAATCATATACTGATGTCAGAAATGATTGACAGCACTTTTTGACAAGTCATCGCAAGTCGCGGGCGCGTTATACGGCCAAGGCGCTGCAACGGTCGGCAGCCTGACAGAAAAACTTGGATCATTACCTGCTTCAGCACACATGTTGTATGGTGGATTGCACTTTCCAAGTGTTGGGAAGTCCTGCTGGAACAAAGCTGCAGGCTTCGCTCCAAATACTAAGGGTTGTACAGATGAATTTTTCCAGCGTGCCAGGGAATTCTATCCCTCCGACAAGATAGCAGAATTGAGGGCGGCTGTAGATAGTGTCGTTGGCACAGCCACGACACTCTACCAGGTCATCAAAGAAGCTGCAAAACAACGCGGCATTCCTCTCTGCACCGTATTGAAAGACCTTGGAAACACTCTCAGTGTCTTATTCGAGGAGCTCAAAGAACAGTTTCCGCCACCCGATGAAGCTCCCGGTCATGAAGAGCGCATAAACATGATGAACACGGTTCTCGATCGCGTCGAGGAGTGTTTTCTGCAGGTCGTCGGCAAACTCGGAGTGAGTAATGAACTCCTCCGAAGTCTCACAGGTTCTCTCAAGACTGGTCTCAAACACGTTGTCGTGACCATTGGTGTGTCACAAATAAATGATTCCGGAATGTTGAGAACCTAACATCAAACGATGATACAGGAGACGTTAGCGAGCAGCATCCATACCTCGTGTGGGCCCTTTCGGGCATTGTGATTAGCATGCTATTTGCCGAAGGAATTCTTCTCACGATTCTCCGCGTTGTTGGGTTTGGACCTTTGGGACCAATGAAGGGTACGATCTTGTATAGTTGCAACACAATAATCTTATAACATTTTTAGGCGGAATTGCTGCGTGGTTGCAAGGGTGGTTATTTGGCCCCGCTGTGACAAAGGGCAGCTGGTTCGCGATGCTTCAGCGCTTCGCTATGATGGGAGGAGCGCGGCTGTAGAACTGGTGCGAGGTTCCGTGATCCGTGAATGTATGGTCCATGACTGAAACCCTGTCACGTTTGTACAATATTACTTGCATGTAGTACATGATTTCTGATGCTTGAAGTTCGCTCGTTGGTCAGCGGCATATATCCATAGTAGGTAGCGGGACTTCGTGTAATACCCGTGAGGTGAAATTAATGTTCGACACAGCCCTCCGAGCAACCTAGGACCCACCATTTACTTCGGTCCTTTTGCAAGACTTCTGATATCAGTCCTTGGCAGTTTGCTAATACCAAGCATTGTTATCTAACAAGAACTCGATCGGGTCACGCACTCTGCTTTTCAGACTGGACACATCGACTTTACGGTTTCTCGCGTCGGCACTTGCTTATGACCTGCAAAAGTGACGCACGACGCAATTCTGTTGAATCTTGTACTGTCACAGTAATATCTTTGTTATAGCGCTGAAGTAACATAATGCTCGCAAGTCATGAAAAAAAGATGTGATGCACATGATCTGACGGGTATTCATCGGCTGCATCAACGGCTTTAGTTGGCATGTTACATAATAGCGGACCAACCATCTTAGGCAACTCAACGTGCAGTGCTTGATGTACACACACCCTCAAGAGCCCTCAAGGCGCCTCAAGGATTAGGTATGTGTTACTGCATGTTGCCTCATGCCATGAAGGCTTCGATTATCAACCTGTTACATACGTGACTTGGTGAATTGAATCCTGCAGGAATTCTTTACACACATATATATATGTCCAGTGCCCCATTGCACAGTGAGCCAACGGTCGTCTATCCTAGCACTAAACTGCAATGTACCAATTCATCAAAAAACTCTCAGAACAATGCGGCATTTCTTTCTGCACCATATCAGAATACCTTGGAAACGCTTTCAGCGTCGTATTTGAAGGGCTCAAAAAACGGTTTCCGCCACCCAGTGAAGCTCCTGGTCATGAGAAGCGCATGGCCACGACGAATGCAGTTTTTGATCGCGTTGAGGAATATTCTTTGCAGGTCGTCGGCGAGCTCGGAGTGAGCAAGAAACGCCTCCAAAGTCTGACGGGTTCTCTCAAGTCAGGTGTTAAACATGTTGTGACCATCGGTGTGTCATGGATAAATAACTGTTCCGGAACGTTGATAAACTAATATCAAATGATGATACAGGAGATTTTAGGGAGCAGCATACATACCTTGCGTGGCTTCCGGACATTGCGATTGGCATCATGATGCTACTTTCCCAAGGGTTTCTTCCTATGATTCTCCAGATAGTGAAGGGTACGATTTTGTATATAGTCGAAACACATCAATGTTTCAATACTGATAACATTTTAGGTAAAATTGTCATGTGGTTGCTATGGTACTTAATTGGCCTCGTCGTGCCAAAGCGCAGGTAGTTCGCGATGCTTCAGTGCTTCACTATGATGGGAGGAGCGCGCGCGCGGCTGTAGAGCTGGTGCGAGGTTCCGTGAATGTTTGGTTCGCGACTAACTCAACCCTCTGTTACGTTTGTACAAATATTACTTACATGCGCGATTTTTGATACTTGAAGTTCGCTCGTCGGTCAGCATCATATATCCAACATATATCCGTAGTAGGCAGCGGTATTTCATGCACCCTGTAAGGGAAAAATCAATGTTTGACGCAGTCCTCAGGACAACCCAGGACCCACCATTTACTTTGACCCTTGCGCGAGAGTCGAGACTTCCAATCAGTACTCAGAGTCCTTAATCAGCCAGGAATT